TATATTTTCTCCAAATCCATTTTCACATATAACCAAGACAAAATAATAGAAACAGGAGTTCAGTGTTGAATGCACAGGTCCACACTACTATGCCAGTTTATCTGGCATTCAGTGGTATAAACCCTCAGAAAGAAGGGAGCAAAAATCTGCATTTATATTTCTTTTAATTATTCACATGTATAAGAGGAAAGTTAATAAAGTCTAGTCAAAAAACAGCATTTGCAGTGGAAAGAATATTTCAGCAACTGTTAAGCTGATATTTCTGACCAAATTTGGAGATACATTTTTGGTTTTTGTTTTTTGTTTTTGGTTTTTTAACACATCAGTGTTTTCAAAGCAATTCTAGAAAGGTTGCACCTTAGGAGTAAAGACTATGTTTAAGGCCTCAGTACTTGTTTCAGGGACTTGTTTCAGAACTAAGGACAAAACTGAAATATATACCTCCTAATAATTATGAAACTAAGCATCTAGAAGTTCAAAGTATCTGCCAGCATTTTAACTGTCTACTAGAAGGAAAATCTATTCTTCAAGCAAAGCTAAAATCTAGAGTATATAGTATATCTTTCATATTGTCCAATGTGTAATAAAAAATTACTGTACATACAAAGAAAAGGATTATTCATAGATAAGAAAGGATCAGTCCAGATGTAATCAGAAATAATAGTATAAAAAATCAGCTATAATACATACAGTTAAGAAACTTAAAGGGAAAAGTGGACATAATAAAAGTACATAATTTCTCTGTAAAAAGAATTAGAAACTTTTAAAAGAGACAATATAGAACTGGACATATACTACTTGAAATGAAAAATGGACACACTTAACAGGAAATTAGATAGAGTGCAACAGAGGATTACTTGATGACAGATCAATAGGAATTATTTAAAGAACAAAGAGAAACAAGGCTTTAAAAAAGACTAGGTGATTGAAGAATGACTTGTGAGATAACAAATGATCAAATCAGTATCGAATTGGAACCGAAGAGAAGAAAATAGTAAAAAAATGTTTTGGAGAACTAAGGGTTAAAAATTTGTTTGACAAAACAAAACAAAACATAAACCTAGCTTCAGAACCAAGAACTTCAGTGAACTTCAAGTGAAATACATATAAAGAAAACCAAATCTAGATATAGTATAGCCAATACTCTGAAAACCAAAGATAAATAGAAAATTTCAAAAACAGCAAAAAATGAAACACTAGGGCAAATAATGCTAGCCACCTTGGTATAATGGAAACCAAAAAAATCATAGAATGACATCTTTAAAGATTTGCTTAAAAATGTTCTAGTGGGCATGGTGGTGCATGCTTGTAATGCCAGCATGAAGGAGGCTGAGGCAGGAGGACTGGCATGAATTTGAAGCCAGCCTGGGCTACATAGTAAATTCAAGGCCAACCTGAACTACATAGCAAGATCTGTCTCCAAAAAAAAAAAAAAAAAAAAATCTAAAACAACTTTCATTTTAAAAATCTGTAATTCAAAAATGTCATTCAAAATTGAAGATGAATTAGGTGCAAAAGAGTTTTTAGACCAAAGGTCAATAATATCAGACATGAAAAGAAAAACCACCAAAAATGATAAAATCAAACAGATGTGTTTTTTGTTTTGTTTTGTTTTCTTCTGATGCTTTAAAAAGAAGGCTGCTTTAGCTGCTTGTGGTAGCACACATCTATACTACTAGCACTCTGGGAGACTAAGGAAGTTCACAAGTTCCAGCCCACAATTTAACAATTTACACTCAGAATTTTATAAAAAGAATTTCAAAGAAAACCTGAGTTTACAGCTTAGGGCACAGTCCTTGGGTTCAATGCCCAGTAATGGATGGAGACTGGCTTTTAAAGCAAAAATTAGAGCACTTTATTGTGGACTTTTGTAAGTAGAGATTTAATATATAATGAAATTACCAAAAAGGATGTTATAGTATATGGAACTATATTGTTGCAGGTTTTATGTTGGTTCAATATAATTAGATTAACAAAAATATTGATTTTATTAATGTAATCGTATAGTAAGCCTTTACATATTAAGTAAACTGTGATCATTTGAGAATGCATTTTATAATTCTTAGAATGTCACCCACAGAGCAATTAAATTAAAACATCAAAAATTAACTGAAATTAAGGCAGAAAAGGGAGAAACAGGAACAAAACAAAATAAAAAGTAAAAAACAATAGAGCTATAAAACATCAAAGTGGTAATTTTGAACAGTCTTTCCAGTAGTTAAATTAAATGTAAATGTATAATATAAGTGGAATAAATCTCCAATAAAAAGTTAGAGATTACCAGACTGGATGAAAATGTAGGATCCAACAATATCTTATCTGTGAATCATGTTCCCATCAACAGGACATAAGGGTTTCTTTGTGGCCACCACTACCTCAGCAGTTTTGGTTTTGTTTGGTTTTGTTTTGTTTTGTTTCGTTTTGTTTTGGCTTGGCTTGTTTTTGATAATGACCGTTCTGACTAGAATAAAATAGAATGTCAGTATACCTTCAATCTGGGTTTCCTTAATGCCTAAAGATATTAAACATTTTTTATGTAGTTGTTGGCTATTTCTACTTCTTTTGAGGAGGGTCTGTTGGGATCATTTGTATATTTTGTTTGCATTACTTATTCTTTTGTTGTAAACAGTTTGAGTTCTTTATGTGTTCTGGATATTTATGCTCTGTAAGCTAGATAGTTGACAACGGTTTTCTCTCATTTTGTAGGATGTCTTTCTATTTTGCTGATAAGTATTGCTTTTATTTCTTAAGCTGTTGCAGTCTGATTTAGGAAGCTGCTGCTTGCACCATTATTTTGAAGTGTTTCTCTTACATATTTTTTTCAAATAGCTTCAATTTCTGATCTGTCTTTAAAATCTTAGTTCCGTTTGCAGTTGATTTTTGTACAGCGGAGCAATAGGGGCCTAGTTTCATTATTCTACATATGGATACCCAGTTTTCACAGCACCATTTGTTCAGGAGGCTGTCTTTTTCTTCAGCGTGTTTTTGGCATCTGTGGCAAGAATCAGTTGGCTGTCAATGTGTGGGTTTTTCCTGGGGCCTCTATTCTATTCTGTTGGTTTATGTGTCCATTTTTATGCCAAAATCATGCAGTTCTTATTTACCATGACTCTGTAATATATTTTGAAATCAGGAATTGTGATGCCTTCAGCATTACTTTTGGCTCAGGATTGCTTTGGCTATTTAAGGTCTTTGTGCTTCCATATGAATTTTAGAATCATTTTTTCTAATTCTGTGAACAATGTTTTTTCTTTTCTTTTTGCAGAACTGGAGATTAAACCCAGGGTGTTTACACTAAGCTGTGCCCTCATCCCTTTATTTTTATTTTTACTTTGGGAAGGCTGTGGCTAAGGCACTAAGTTCCCAAGCTGAGCTCCAGTTTGTAGTCATCCTGCCTCAGCCTCTCAGAATGCTGGAATTTTAGGATGTGCCCAGAAAGCATTGATATTTTGATGAGGATTGCATTGAGTCTATGGATCACTTAGGGTAGTATGAGCAATACTCATATTTTAACAGTATTAATTCTCTCAATCTGCGAATTTGAGAGGTTTTTCCATAATTTATGTCTTTTTCATTTTTTTCTTCAATGTTTTGTAATTTTTGTAGTCTTGTGCTTCCTTAGTTAGGTTTAATCCTAGATATTTTTTGAGGCTATTGTGAATGGGATTGTTTGCCTGACTTCTCTCGCAACAAACTTATTTTTGATCTATGGAGAGCTACTAATTTTTGTATATCGATTTTGCATCCTGCTACTCTTCTGGATTTGTTTATCAATTCTAAGTCTGTTGATGGAATATCTCGAGTTTTCTCAGTATATAATCATATCATTGGCAAATAGTGATAATTGGACTTCTTTACTATTTGTATCCCTTTTATATATATATCTCTTACCTGATTAAAATTTCTAGTACTATACTGTACTGAAAAAGTGTGGTGAGAGTAAATACCTCCCTTTTTTCCCCTTCATATTGGAGAAAATGCTTTGGGTTTCTTCCTATTTAGTATGATGTTAGCTGTGCATTTGTCATGTATAATCTTCATGAACCTTCTGTATCTATTTTATTTGTACTTTTTATCATAAAAGGATGTTGAGTTTTACCAGAGGCTTTTTCTATATCTATTGAGATGATCATGTGATTTTTATCCTTGATATCCTGTATTGCACTTGTTGATTTGTGTATACTGAACCATCCTTGTATCCCTGGAATGAAACCAACTTGATAGTGGATATTTTCATCATAAATAACCCAGATATGTTGATTTTAGATATTGTTTGATAGTAAACTTTACAAACCTTTAATTTTTAAAGTCCTGTTCTGCTGTCCTAAAGTTTATTGAAGGATTTAATTCTATAATATGTAACACAGGAATTATTTTAAAATAATCATATTTATCTTTTATTTTCTACTAACTCTTGGACTTATGTTCTTTATATTTCATATAAAGACAAATTGATTGTTGAACCAGTTTTGAACACAGAGTCAGAAATAAATAAGAATCTACAACATTAGTTTGGGGTGAAAATTCTACATTTTATACTTACACTAAAACTCACAAGTAGCTAGTGAAATACTTGCATTTGGAGAGAGCTACTTCATATTTCCAGAGACTAGACCAAAGTTGGTTTGTGACTTCTAAAATTATATTTTTACCAAGGTGATGTAGGGCTTAATGATTTCTCAGTAAAGTAATATCATATTCTTCTAGCAAAATAAGTTCACAAGCACTAGCAAAAAAGTCTTAGACAATGTCGAGGCATCAGTGCTTTTATAGTTCAAGTAAGTGACCTAGTTCCAGAATATAACATAGACATTCTTGGGTACATGATGTTCTGTGTCCACCTAAGCAAGGATCTTTCTTCTTAAATGAATTAGATGAATTACAGCTGTCGAGAGGGTGAAATTAGGAATAGCCAGAAGAAAATAAAGATAATCAATATATATGAGACTAGTTTACTCTCCAGTTTAGCTTATTTTTTCCTTTAATTTTTTCTTTTACAGTAAACATTTCTATCTTCAGAATGTAAGTTAAGGAATGAGAGGCAAGGAAGAAAGGACATTCATCTTGGAAAGATTCAGAGCACTTTGAAATTTTCAATGAATGTAACGCTAGCTGCTAATACCCACTTTGTTACTGGAATGGAAGTGCTTCAAATTTAAACGGTAACTAGAAATCTACCATGTTATGTTTCCACCTGGAACATTATGCGACTTCAAAGGATTTAAATGTTTACAAATGCCAAACTGCAGCTAAAGTTTCTAGTTTTATATTTTAGCATTATCAGGCTTTATTTTCATCCATAATGTTTGTTCAAAAGAATTCTCCCCCACCCAGCTTTTTAATTTAAAAATATAAGCTTATTTGAGAAAGAATGGGATATATATTAGCACGTTTCTTAAGTCTACTCTCACCAAATATTTTTTTTTTTTGCTTGCATGGAAATAAACCATGCAGAATAATGATTCAAGTTCATGAGTCATTCTTTTCATATATGCAAAAGGTTTTTGGTCTAAGTTTTATTTCATATTGGTTGTATTGTTGTTGTTTGTTCCTTGACATCTGGTCTCTTTTTCTCCTTTCATATCTGATATGTTATTTTTATTTTATCTGTATCGTCTCCTTTGCCCCTCTCTACCTTTTAAAAAAAATCACCATGTAGAACTGAGAGTCACAAAACAAATAAATAAAATATCCAGAGAAAGCACAGGAGAAAGAAACATGAAATGATTACAAATTTTTCTTGCTAATTGCAAAAACAGTTAGATTTTAAGTATAGCGAGATGCAATCATATAGAAACAATATTATCAGTCTTTTTAAATTTTCTTGATCTTAGACTGAAATTATTTCAATGCATGTTTTACAAAGATTAAAAATTTATAAATTCTTAATAGTTTCCCAGTGAGCAGTTATATCCACAAGGTATTATTAATTTGATTTTGAGGGATAATCATTTGTATGCATGAGTCACTACGTATTAGTAGTGAGAAGGTGATAGTTACTAAAACTAGTGCCCTGCTGTGGAATGTAGCTGTGAAAAATCACTCAAATTACATTATCTTGTGGTAGTCCTGATGTGTCTAAGGAATACTGGATCTGTCTAAAGGAAATGATTCAAGTTCATAAGTGTAATATGGATAAATCATCTTCTAAAGGATGGATATTCTAATCACCTTTCCCCATGCTACCATTAACCATGATAAAAATATCTCAACAGTGATGTTTTTAAGAATTTTCCAGTTGCAGGATAAACCTCTACATGTGGCATAATAAAAACTTTTCTGAGATTTTTGTCACTGATAGTCATGTAGCCCCATTCAGTGCATTTTAAATGTCTTTAACTTCTTTCAAGTCCATTAAAAAAATGTTCTAAAGCTCAAAGAAGCAACCTTTGAAAAGCAGAAATAAAGGTGCTCAGTGTTCTCTTAGTCAGGTATTTAGTAATATGTAGACTATGTATTTTCTGCATATTAATAATATGTTAAAAATCACCAAATTCCCTACCTTTTTCATTAATCCCTTGCTTGCTCATTTAATTATGGCTTTTATAAATTTATATAATCTGTTTCATTACCAAACTAAAAGCATGTCCTCACATTTTTGTACCATGATATCCTTGTAACACTTTAATAAGATCCTAATTCCATTTAAATCCATTTATTAGTTGCTATGGATAGGATCATTGAAGTGCACTTTTTCTAATTAATTTCTATTTTTTTTGCTACTGAATTTGTTTTGAGTGGTAATATATAGGAACAGATTAGAAAACAACTTTACCTCCTTAGTTGTACAGATTTTAGTTGTAAAATTTGCAAAATTTATAACTTACATAATTAGAAATTCAGATTCTCAGTTTTGTGTACTAACTTGGCTATTTTGTAGTAACTAAACTTTAAAGAATGATATTCTACTCATTGTAATGATAAGGTTAAATCAGACACCCTGTTTATTTAAGTTCACTTTATTAGGTGTAAACTGTGGCCATTCTTGATGGCGGAGTACACTGCAGGAGAAAGGATCATTTCAGTCAATTGACATCTGTCTAGAATCCTAAGCTCATAAAGCTTGATAGACTTTTGTTTTGATTTATGGGATTTTTTTAGGTTTGGCTTTTTTGTTTGTTTGTTTGTTTGTTTGTTTGTGTTTTTAAGACAAGGTGTTGCTATGCACTTCAGGCTTGGGCACACTTTGTAGCCCTGTAGCCCAGGCTGCTCTCAAACTTGCAACAATCCTCCTACCTCGGCCTGCTGAATGCTGGGATTACAGGAGTGTGCCACCGTGCCCAGCATTGACAGACTTTTAAAGCATCCTTTACAGTATCTGTCCTTTATATACGGAATCCTATGTATCATTTTCCCAGACAAAATTGAGTGTGTAATAATAGCAATCAAAATGCATGGAGGACTTACCATATGCCAGGCATTGAGATTAGCTTTTAATATGTTGTCTTAAACCATTGGGCTGCTTTAATAAAAATATGTTAAACTAGGTGGCTTAATAATGACAGAAATTTATTTCTCACAGTTTTGGAGACTGGGAAATCAAGATCAGGGCACTGACAGATTTAGTGTCTGGGGAGGGCTGCTTCCTAGTGTATATTCACTGTGTCCTCATAGGGAAGAAAGGGCTAACCTACTTTCTTGAGTCTTGTTTTAAAGGCACTAAACTCTTTCATGAGAACTCTACCCTCACAATCTAATCATCTGCCAAAGACCCCCACTTTCAAATACCCTATGTTGTCAACATTCATAAACACTCATTTGTAGTTTATATACATGATCCTTCAGCCTCACCATTCTGTGTGGCATAGTTCTATTATGAAAAAAATTCATTTTACATATATGGGAAACTCATTCTCAAAAGAATTTAGTTGCTCAAATCAAGCAGCCTGTTAGTGATAAGAGTTAGGACTGCCTGATTCCATAGCTTGAGCTCGTAACCAGAATTTTATTTCTTTTTAAAGACTTAAACAGATCACATTGAAGTTGTTTCTTCTTTAACTAGTCGGTAATCAGGAAGTGTTATTATTAGTAGCAATCTTACTGCAACTCTGTAAAATTATGCTTCCTTGATATAGGAGAAATGTATTATGTTTCTTTTGTAGCATCAGTTTTATTTAGTCAGTAATTTCCAATTGTTTTGATTATGTGCTTGTTGTAGTCAAGGATGTACACAGAGAACAATTAGGATCAAGACGTGGAGTTTATAATATCTTTATAATGGTCACCGGGAGTTAACACAGGAAAATGCAAGAAATCTATCCACAACACCAAAGACATAGATTATTTAATCAAGAGCCTAAACCCCACAGCAATGTCCCACATGAGTCCAGATAAAAATCCAGAACTCAGGACAATGCCTCCAGGAGTCCAACTGGAGGTCCAGAGCCCACAAGAAGGACTCATGCCAGTCTCTTACGGATCTATGCCGGGAAGACCCAAGGGTCAGCGGTGGAAGCCAGAAAGTCTATGCGAGCAGGATAAAGGAGCTGTGCTAGTGGGATGAGGGTTCTATGCTGGAGCCAAGAAGTCACACTCACAACAAAGACCAGGGCTATCCTGAAAGGCACCACACCCATCCTCAGCAACACGGAGGCCCCAAGCTCCTCCAACGACAAGCACTGTTGGGTACATGCCAGGAAGCAGCATGACGAGCTCATCCTGGAAACCAAGCAGCACATGTCTTCCCCTCCAGAGCCAGGAAGCAGTGTTCAGTGTGTGGACCAAGGCTTCTCCAGGAGAACTAACAGCTCAGACAGCAACTCGTAGGAGAACCCACAATGCCTCCTTAATGCCTCAACCCTCAACACCTCCCTTCTCCACTTGTTTATCCTGGCAACTTTCCTCAGGTGGAACATCTTTGCTCAATGCCATGCGGATGTAATCCATCTGGCGTTAAGTTGACCACCAGTTCTTAATCCATAACAGTGCTTAATGTGTTATGATGTAATATAAAAAGAAAGACGTATCATAGAACTTTAAATTAACTTGACTTTTGAAAAAGTTTTGAAAAGTATACCACAGTGTAAAGTTAAACTACTTGAAGATGATGATAGTTGTTCCCTCATTTAGTTAAAATAAAGGCATAGAAGAAAGAGAAGGTTAAGAGGTATTGGTGGGGGAAAGCATAAAAATTAAGTTTATAGTGATCTATTTTTCCTTGAAGTCTTATTTGTCCATCTTTTTTCTTTTTATGCTCAGAAGATTCTTTAATGTTTTTCAATCTTAGAAAGTTTATACCTCCATTAAATATTAAAATGTTAGTAAATTCATAGCACTATTTAATCTTATTGGCATATATTTTCTGTTCAACTTATGTATTGTCACTTTCAAATAGATCTTATTGTACTAATTGTAGAAAATACAGTAAAACTTACTATCAGAATTCTACATAATAATGCATTTAGATTCAGTATAATACTACATCTAAAATACATGGTTATAATCTGTTATTTCTAAAATTTAGGTGACCAGGCAAAAAAATATGGAACAGCTAAAACAATTTTCAGAGTTGAAAAACTGAAGAAATCACTCTACTTATTTAGAAGATAAAAAGCCACAATAATCCACTCTGGTAATGATAGTAGAACAGATATATAAATCCATAGGTTGGCTGGTTGTGGTGGTGCACAGTGAGGCTGAGGCAGGAGGTTTGCTGTGACTTCAAAGCCAGCTGACACTGCAAAGCAAGAGCCTGTTTCAAAAAACTAAGTAAATGAGTAGACAGATAAATGAATAGATGGATAGATGGATGGATGGATAGATAGATAGGAATAGACAACCTAACTTCACATGAGTATTAGCCAGCTGTTTGAATTTTGCAAAAGTATAAAGAGAATTCAGTCTGCCTATCAAGAAAAAGAAAGTAAAAACTTAAATCTATGCAATAAGGACTGAAAAGAGGGAAATTAGTACAGACCCCATGGAAATTCAAAAGATCATGAACACCTGTTTTGAAAATCTCTACTCACATAGAGTGGAAAACACAGAGGAAATGGACAGATTTCTAGAAAAATATGAACTACCAAAGCTCAATCAAGAAGATATAACAATTTTGAATAACCTTATATCAGCTACTGAAATCAAAAACATGATTAAGAACTTAACAACATTTAATGTGCAGACTTTATGGAAAAAAAAAAATGTACCAACAAAGAAAAGCCCA